GTTTTAAATTAGACAAATTTAGATTTCGGCGTGAAATAGGTAAACACTGGTTTGGAAACCGAGTAGTGGATGAATGGAACAAGTTACCAAATATCATCATTAACTCGAATACGCTGGATAGCTTTAAACATAGGCTGGATGCTTATATGAGCAACAGGGGTTGGGTATAAACGGAACTGCCCAGTATGGGTCAATAGGCCCGCTGAAGTTTCCTCCATTTTTATGTTCTTATGTTTACAGGTACTTTAACGGGCAATGTTCAGTGGATTTGGCATCCTGTGTACCGCTTGCAAGGCACTGGGCTCGTAACACTCGTCTTACCCCCGGTGTCCACCGTTCCTATGTGAATGCCAGTCACACTAGAATAGCCCGTTACAGTACATCCTTCTTTCCTTAGGCAGCCAACCTGTGGAATACTCTGCCTTCTTCTGTTTCCATACTCATAAAATCTGTTTCACATCAAAAAGCTGGTTTTCCGGTATCTTCGTGTTGTAGATTAATATAGTCTTTTTCTCTTCTATCTTTAACGTCATTTTACTCTTTTTTTCCCCCTCCAGGCCCCGTTGTGGGTTGATGACCTATACCCGGGTTGGCTATTACTCAGTAAAAAAAAATCCAGCTGATTTTTGCATATATAAAGACCTTTTTCTGCTAACTGCTGGATTATTTGGTTTCCAAACGTCTTCAAACACTTAAACATAATATGATAGATGTCCAACCAAGTAGACATTCAAACACAATTCTTGCCAGTACATTCTGTGACGTGTCAGTTTCTTTTCCAAAGCTTGACACAAGTATGAAACTTTTAACCACTACGAAAAAGGTGAAGTACGAGTCTCAGCACGTCCCCGATCCTACCAACTCTATCTCCCAGCGTGATTTTAGAAATATTAACTGGTACTCAGTATTTTCAAAATGAGAAACTAACCAGGTTTCCCATGTGAATCTACATTGTGTTCGATTAGACCTGCTGGTTTAATAGATGTCTTCGTTCTCAACAGAACAGACGCACCCATATTATTAAAGTAGGAATTTTGCTTGTGAGATTACATGGTTTACCATACTAATTTTGTTTTACAGCCTACTTAATTCCCAGTTGATAGCATTACACATACACGTACACAAACCAAGCAGGAGAGGACGAATCAAATCGCCCTCATGTCAGAGTAATTGATCATCTTCCAGGGACGACTGAATTCCTAAAGTTACTTGCTGACTACAGAAACATTGTAGCTTTACCTGGCAAGCCGTTAGATCAGAAAAATTTATCTTTACATCACATTCCCTGTTTTTAGTTCCTATGAAGGATGGAGGTTGGCACCGGGTTATTGATTTTTGGTGACTCGCCGAAGAAACTATCCCGGATAGTTACCCAATGCCTGTTCTGAGCGATATTTGTGGGATTTCCAAATTCCTCTCGTCGAAAAATCCTATGAGTTTACTGCATTTAGCACTGCCCTGGGCACATTTGAATTTTTACACAAGCCTTTTGGGCTTCGAAATGCGCCATTGACCTTTCAAAGGATGATTAACACCTTCTTTGGTGATTTGCTCGGCAACATAGTTTATACCTATCTTGATGATCTTATCATTTTAGCAAAACCGTAGTTAGACACCTCGACAAATTATGTAAAGTTTTGAAAAGCCTTATAAAGTGGAACTTAAAATTAAACCTTCCAAATGTAATCTTTTTAAGTCTATAATTCAATTCTTTAGACAGTTAGTCGACGGAGACGGCATTCATATAGTTGACTGAAAAGTTAAAGTCGTTACAAACGTTGACAAGGTGCGTGGTTTTCTTAGTTTATCAGGATATTACCTTTCATTTATAAAGGAGTATGCTACATTAGCTTCGCCGCAGACTAAGTTACTCTTTAAAGGCATGACTTTTGTATAGAATAATGAGCATGAGAATAGTTTTACTGCTTTGAAGACAGAACTTACCGAAGAAGCAGTTTTTTGCATATCCTTATTAAACCCAACCCTTTGCTTTCTGTACCGGTGCCTCAGAACAAGAGCAAGTGGCTTTTTCCATGCAACTGTAAACTTAATGACGCAGACACACGCTATTCAATAGTGCTTCTGGAAATGTTAGCTGCTATCTGGTCTCTAAAGAAATTCATATGCTTGAATTTTGGTTATGATATAACCGTTCATATGGATCATGTGGCAGTGACGGAGTTGTTAAGTGGGAAAAACCTTTCAGGTAGACTAAAACGCTGATATACATTTGACCATTCAAGAATTCGCCCCCGAATTCAAGTACCTACAGGGAAGAGCGAACGTGGTCGCCAATGCTTTGTCCCAACACATAGCTCCGGTTACGGCTCTACGGTATCTTCGTTCACTCTTCTGCAGCAATTACGGGAAGAACAACAACTAGATCCCTTGTGGCTTACAATCATTTATGCTCTAGATTCTGGGGAGGAGGCTTATCTACATAAGCTACCACTTCCATTGAGTCAAGACATTTTCCACCCCTGCAGGAAGAATGCATAGGACAATGTCACACAAATTGTAGTATCTGACACACTATGAGCGGCGGTGCCACAATGTTCCTCAAGTAGGCCATCCCAGGCGTGACAAATGCCTTGCGGAGTACCATTACTATTTATTATAAACGACATAGATATCGGCGTAGACAGCAACATAAGTAAATTTACTGATGACACTAAAATAGGGTGTGCAATTAAATCTAACTAGGACTCCGCCAAACTGCAGGAAGATCTAAAAAAAATTTCGCATGGTCTGAAAAATGGCAGATGAAATTTAATGTGGCCAAATGTAAGGTACTTAGTCTAGGACAGTGGTTTTCAACCTGGGGGCCATGGCCCCCAAGGGAGCCACGGCAAGAATTTAGGGGAGTCACGGAGAGCTGTTAAAAATTGTACGTTTCCAAATAATGTTGAGAATGTGAATTAAACAAAACTTGTATTACTTATTTTGACTTGGCAGAAGAGAATTTTCCTTCATTTATTGTCATTTTGTTTAATCATAACGACAATACAATTTTAATATTTACATACTCTGGTGCTATATTTTTTTTTTTTTTTTTACGGATTATTTAAGATTTCACAGGTCCAGTCCCTGTCTGTGTGACAGGCGCTGGACCAAGCTGCTGAACTGACTTGTTCAGTACGTGTCCGTGTGTCATCTCTATGCAAGTGGTGATAGGACCGAATGATCTCAGTCTGGCCTGGGATACCAGCATAATATACTCCGTAATTGGTGTTACTTATTTTGTTTCATAATTCATGTGGTCGCTGCTTTACGTGGGTGAAATATTTGTACACTTCCTTTATTAATTATTTCCTTATTTAGTGGTGCCATTGTTGTTCATACTCATTCTTTACTTATATAATCCTACCATTTTTAGTGCTAAATTGTTATGACTCACTATTCTTCTCATTCTTCCAAGTTGGGCAGTGCTTGTCAAAGGAGGCGTGTTCTTGCTTACAGGAAGTACACTTCAGCTTGCTAGCTTGAGTGTGAATGTTTACCTGTGTGCATGTTTATGTATGACTGTATGTGTGCTTTAAGTGTGAGTGCATGGGCGTGTTATGTATGTGAATGTGTGTGTGTTTGCCATTCTAACTCTTGTCCTATTTATCTGTCCTTCTTTATCATTCTTTAGTTTTTATCACTTGTCTGTTTGTCTGTTCTGACATTCTGTCTTCTTTATTTTCTCTAGATTTGTGATGGCTACTAGTGTTGCTAAGAAGCGGAAGTGCATCGATGGATACATTGACTACGGATTTTCATCAATCCTCGCTGATGGCATTGAGAAACCTCAGTGTGTGCTGTGCTTCAAAGTGCTGGGGAACGATTCTATGAAACCTAGTAAGCTGAAGCATCATCTGATGACGATCCATCCACAGTATGTGGAGAGAGACACGGATATCTTCAGGCGCCATGAACGGAGTTTGGGAAAACAGAAACTGGACGAAAGTGGTGCCTTCCAACAACAGACCGTAAGTGTAGTTGAGGCATCATACGAGGTTTCCCTCGAAATAGCAAAGCAAAACAAGCCCCATACAATTGGTGAAACTTTAATTAAGCCATGTGCTTTAAAAACGGTCAAACGGGTTCTTGGAGAGGCAAGTGAACGTAAAATTCAACAAATTTCCTTGTCAAACGATACAGTGAAACGGAGAAGTAATGAAATGTCAGATGACATAAAGGAAAAAGTGATACAGGAGATCAAATTATCTCCAACTGGTATGTTTGCAATACAGCTGGATGAGTCAACGGACGTGAGTTCTTGTGCACAGCTTCTCGTGTTTGTTTGTAATGGCCCCTATCTCATCAACAGAAAGTAATATATAAATGGGTTACTTACATCTGATTTATATTCAGATTCATCCTCTGTAACTTTCCACTGGCTATGAGGTGACATGTTCAATGCACATGATAAGGTGTGCTCACGGGAAGCTGCGTCATACTATGTTGAGTAAAGGCATAAGTAGCCGGCTCCTGGCCACCTAAAGCGTGCAGTAGTTTGATATCCTTGACTAGAGGAAGACGTTATTTGAGAGCCGCAGTGGATGGCTCCATCTTCCCTGAGGGGAACGACGTACCTATTCCGTTCTCCCTCGATGGGTCACTACTCAGTCACTCATACCAACTAATATCGAACGGACGTTGATCCACGTTTATAATACATAAACGCCGTCCTTTCTCATTCACTCATAAATAGTGGAACTTACGGTTGATATACACTCAGGAATTATAAACATAATACTTTTATAATAAAACAAGAAACTTCAATTGGGTTTCGTTACTAAAAGCCCAATATATATTATATGTGTACCAACCTGGTTAACTGGGGAATTAACCAGCATATGTTTTTTTGTGTGACATCGAGGAGGAATATCTGTTCTGTACTCAGCTTGAGATCACCACAACAGCTGTAGATGTGATGGAAAAGCTGTCTTCTTTCTTCAGCTAACAGGATCAGCTGGGAAAATTGTTGTGGAGTCTGTACGGATGGGGCTCCGGCGATGCTGAGATCAAAATCGGGGTTCCAGAAGCGTGTCAAGGAAGTAGCTCCGAATGCCAAGGGGATCCATTGTATGATCCAACGTTTTGCACTGGCGTCGAAAACCCTCCCTGACGAACTTTGCAAGATCCTGGAGGCAGTGGTCAAATGTGTCAACTTTGTGAAAGCTGGAGATCTGAACTCTCGCTTTTTCCAGAACTTTTGTAGAGACATGGATTCAAAGCATAAAGCCCTCCTCTTTTACTCCAAAGTGCGCTGGCTTTCCATGGGCAATGTTGTGAATCGAGTGTTTGAACTTCGAGAATTGCACGGGAAAGATGATCTATTAAGTCAATTCAATGAGGTGTTGTGGGAGCCACGTCTTGCATATTTAGCAGATATATTTGAGCAGCTAAACAGGCTGAATCTCAAGCTGCAGGGCAAGGACAGAAATGTGTTTTACCTCATGGATTGTCTTCGTGCATTTCTTGCCAAGCTCCAGAATTGGCAAAGGAAAATCAATGCAGGAAATGTTGCCATGTTTGAGAATCTTTCAACTGTTCTTGATGAGAATGAAGATCATCTGCTTGACCCATCACTCAAAACTGAAATCACTCAGCACTTGAAATCCTTGGAAAATGAGTTCAAAAAGTATTTCCCAGAATTCGAGGAGAAAGATGGGAAATTGGTGAGGAATCCTTTCTCTAGCACTCTTGATATTGCTACCATTCACAATGATGTTCAGGACAAATTTCTTGATCCCAAGAATGATTCTGCTGCCAAAGATGTCTATGAAGAAAGGTCTCTGACTGTATTCTGGTGCTCAATGTATCAGTCATATCTAAAAGTTAGCGAGATTGCACTTCGAGTCCTCTTGTCTTTTTCAACTACCTATTTATGCGAATCTGGTTTCTCCACCCTTCTACATATAAAGAGTAAAAGCCGGAACCGACTGGATGTGGACCCGAACATGAGATGTGCGTTGTCAGTGACACTACCTCGGAACAGTCACCTGACTGAAAGGAAACAATGTCAGCCTTCTCATTGAGCTGTGACAAAATATGCAGAGGTCATATGAACTTTTTCCCAACCAAATGCAAGTTTGCTGTGAGGCTTGTCTAGTAGTCACTCTAGTCTAGTGACGTTAGTTATGTAAATCATGTAATTCTATCAAAATATAAGATAACGATGATTGTCAACCTTGAAATAAAATAAGGGAATTCTCTTCATTTGCATTTTATTTTTCAACATTATTTGTGGGGGGGGGGTTGGGAGAAAAATGAAGGAGGCCACGAGGATGTTGAAAAAGGTTGAGAACCACTGGACTCTAGGAGATGTAAACAGAGAAACCAGATATCAGATGAACAACGTTGTTATAGAGAAATCCGACTGTTAGAAAGATTTAGGAGAAATGATAAGTAAGAATCTTAAACCAAGTCAACAATGTGTATTTGCTCGAAACAAGGCTAACAAAGTACTTGGGTTCATATAAAGGAGTATTAGTTACAACACTAGCTAGGTTATCCTAAAACTATATCTTACGCTTGTGAGACCTCACTTGAATTACGCAGTTCAGTTCTGGTTACCTTACTACAGAATGGATATAGAACCCCAAGAAAGAATTCAGAAGAAAATTACAATACTAATCCCGGGCATTAGGAACCGTGAGTACAGAGACAGGTTAAAGCATCTTAATCTGCACTTTCTCGAGAGGCGCAGATTGAGGGGCGATATGATCGAGGTGTACTGTATAAATGGAAGTCAGGGCTAAACAAAGATGACATAACAAAGGTACTCAAACTATCCAACCATGAGCGAACTCGTAGCAATGGTTTTAAATTAAACAAATTTAGATTTAGGCGCGAGATAGGTAAACATTTCTTTAAAAAGAGAGTAGTGAATGAATGGAATAAGTTACGAAACATCATCATGAACTCGAATACGCTGGATAGCTTCAAACATAGGTTGGGTGGATATATGAACGATAGGGGTTGGGTGTAAACGGAACTGCCCAGTATGGGCCAATTGGCCCATACTGGGCAGTTCTTATATACTATTGGAATACAATGGAAAAAGACATCGAGCAACACATTGGTAAATGTTTATCGTATGCTCAACACAAAAGCACCATCATTCTACTGCTCTAATGCTTGAATATCCATCACAGAAATGTTCGACACAGTCGCGATTAACTTGTTGCAACTTCCGAGGAACTACCAAGGTTCACTCTAAGTACTGGTGTGTATGGATCACTTCTCCAAATTTGTGATTTTAGTCCATTTGCAGGATAAATCTGCCGAGACAGTGGCCCACGGTCTATTGTTTCATCTGACATGACCATCACTACACCTAAGGTTCATCTATCCGACAAAAGATCAGAGTTTAAAAATCAACTTTTTGCACAAATTTGCCTGCTATGCGGCATCCAACAAAAGTTCACCGCAGCTTAACATCCTCAGGCGAATGGCCTGGTTGAAAGAACCAATCGACCAATCGTAAAATCTTTGAGATGATTCGATATATTGTGAATCCAATGCATATGGAATGGGGGGATTTGTCACTTCAAGTAGCAGCCTCGATTAATGGGTCGATTAATAGCTCCACCGGACAATCACCCTACTGCATCGCACAGACAAACGTTTGCTTTATGACATACTTACAGGAACTCCTCAACCTATATACAACATGGACGATTACTCTAAAAATCAAATCAGCGCCTTCACAGACATACATGGATTGGTACGGAAACACTTAGCAGCCGACAATGCTGGACATGGGCGACTCTGTCATATTGAGAGAACTAGAACGGATGTTTAAACTTTCCCCCAAATTTTCAGGTCCATTCCTGATTACTGCCAAAGAAACGGGCATCAAATATAACATTTTTAAACCCAACACATAAATTACGGACGTAGTACATGTGGACAGACTTAAAAGGGTACACCCGGTCCTACTGTACTACTCACAGGTGTAAACGATATCTCAGACACAACTGTGCAAATCGGAAACATGTCAAATAGACCAGCTGTATTCAATGGTTATCTTGAAACAACGTTCTGCACGATAAATTTAAGACGATTCAACTTCTTTCAGCATGACGTGGATCGTGGTACTCCTACTACTCTGTGGCGCATCCGTGTTGACGTCTGTTTCCACGTACGTTCTCAAGTCAGGTGCACTAGTTGTATCAGTAGGACATGTACAGTACTTGTAGTTGAAGACGTTGAAACAGTCCAGTATGAGCTGCAGGGACTACTACACATTCTGAGGCAGATGATGTCTATTGATGTTCAACTTGAAACAGCATTGTGACATCCTCCAAGACCTATAATAAGCCGACGTCCTAACATTTCTGCAATGGTTGACCAGACCATTGGCCTACAGAGCGTACGCATCCAGGCCCTCCATAAGAATATCATCAATTCAGGACCCTCTGTTCCACCATCTCGTGAAGACATTGGTAAGAGGTAATATTATTGGTCTCATGCAAAGTGTTTTGTTTGGCACAGCTGCTGCAGGAGATATAGTTAATTTAGGAGACCACGTTAATATAGTAAAAGGCTGTACGTAAACAAAACCTTGCAATAACTCAGGCCTATACGTTTTCCAGTCTTTACAATGAAAGTTTAATTATATAATCATTGGTAGTGCTTGAGTTGGCGCAGTCAGTGTCCACACGAAAATGACATACATTTTACCTGAGTATTTGCATGCCGCTGAAACTTCTGTTCAATCTTTATTTTCTGCCAATGACAATCTCATTGCTGATTTAATTAACGCAGGTTTAGGACGCGTGGATGCTCAGCTTTTGCCTCTATTTTCAAAACACAGGAGGTTCAAAATTATTTTTCTTTGCTACAAGCAATGCTAATGCATGCTGCAATTTAATTCACATTCCAATGCTCTCTCACCGCAAATTTGAGGAATGGTATTTGGAACTTTTCCCAGTGGACACAAGATAAACTATCTGAACTTTTACTAGGGGCTAAGGACTATTCGCTGTAGAAGGAATATGCGAACAGGCTATCATACAGGCGAATGCTTTCACAGTGCACTAACACTGTTCTTACAAACCCATCCCCACAAAAATGGTATTTCATGCACATCTTCATAACGATCAATATTTTTTTCCTCAACAGACCAGTTTATGTTTAAAGAGTCAGGGTGGTGACAAGCACTTTTTTGTAAAGGGTTATTATTTGGCTTCAGATTATTGTGAACTGATCAGAAGTGCAGTAAAAACATTGCCATCCCATCAATATTTGACTTTGAATTTGCATTTGACTTCAGATCTTGTACCTTTATTTTTAAATGTTAATTTAACTTACTGCAAACTCAACATTGTTTTTGACAATCTAACATTACTTGCATATCTCAATGAAACACAGTTCCCTTCATTCGATGATAATGTGCCATTTTATTTTTCTTCTGGTTTTGTAATCTCATGCTTTTTTTTTTATCAACTATATTGTTTTGGCAATTTTATTATTATTTGTTTAATAATAGACAAATTTCTTCGAAGTATACTTCTGTGCATAATGCCCTCACACACAAGGCACTCAAAATATGAATTCCGTTTCTCAACCCTGGTTTGGAGAATCCCCAGTTTAGCTCCAGCACACAGTTATTTTTTTAATATTGACATGTATCCACAAGAGTTTTTTCTACATGGTTAGATTACACCTTGTAGGATACATACATTTGTAATTAGTTTCATATAATTAGGGTACATCACCCATCAGTAATACTGATGCAAGTGTCGCATATGTCACGTAGCCTCAATGTCTTTCAAATGACCTCCCCTCACCAAGGCCCAACCTAGGTCATTTAAAAAGCTCGCCAGTTATACTGAGTTCACCAAGGTATCTGCCATGGCTCATTCTTGCTTACTGCGGGTCCTTAATATCACTTCCCTACTCTCCTAAGTTATCTGCTCATGGGTGTAATTATAGTAATATCACGCTCTAATTGTGCATAGACTTATTTTTTATAATAAAAAGAGAAAAGCCAATGTGGGTTAGGAACTTTACCCCAAAATGAATTATTTGTGTACTTCTGTTATTAAATCCAGCTACTAGCAGGTAGTACAGGGTAGCTATTTGACCACTCTACAGGATCATCTAACAACACTACACAAGATACACCGACCCTGGAGCCTTACACCCCTAACGGCAGGTTTTAGAGCCTTACACACCATTACCTTTGGCCCTGGACCCCTATTCACTGCTATGGTCGGCTCTCGAGCCATACACACCCCGAGGGTTGGCCCCACATGTAGTGACGAAATATCCTGGACAACTTGACAGCACTTACACATTTATCAGCCCCTTAGTCTTTATATAAATGTCAGGGCAGTACATTGTGTTTATATAAGCATATCACCCCTGTAACTTTCCACTGGCTATGAGGTGACATTATCATATCGCGTGATGGGCAGGTTCCTTGAGGCGTGGCCCAGTGACTGTTAAGGTCAGCATAAAAAGGCCTGCTCCCTACGGCATTGTTACTCAACCCCTCACACCGACCGGACGTATTTACCAGGACTATTTAACATAGCCTCCGTCCTCCTCTTAACTCTCATAGCTACAGTGATAAGTTACGGTGATATACACTTGGAACTGTATCCTAGATAGTTCCTGAATAAATGGATAACAGACAATTAGGTTTGGCTACTAGAACCCTCTATAATATACATGTTCCGGTCTCATTAACCCAGACGGAATCAGCAGTTAAAAGACCTAGGGAGTGTGCTGAAGCCCTGGCCCCTGTGCTTGCTCGCCTCTTTCGCCTTTGCCTCAAAACCAAAACTTTTCCTTCTTCTTGGAAGCATGCCATGGTTCAGCCCATCCCGAAGAAGGGTGACCATTCTAATCCCTCTAACTATCGCCCCATTGCCCTAACTTCATCCCTCTCTAAGATTTTCGAAACTATCTTGAACTCCCATTTTCTCCGTTACCTTGAACGCCTTTCTCTTTTGTCGGATCACCAGTATGGCTTTCGCCAGGCAAGATCTACTGGTGATCTGCTCTCCTATTGCACCCATCTTTG